CAAATTTTCTCTATTTTGATAAACTTTAAGTATAGCTTAATAAATGAGCTATCAAACTAAAGTTTGAATTTTAAGGAGCTATTATAAAACCCACAGGAGGATAATTTAAGACTGGAATATTTTAAATGTTAGTGTTTTTTTATCAGTGCCATTCCCTGTAGTGATGAACATTTTGGAAATTCTAAATATATGTACATATATATATAAATATGTGTGAATATATGTATATACATCTACATATATATTTCATTATTATTTTGAAGCTTTGGAAGATGCCCTTTTCAATGAGGAAATAATGAAAACCTTTCCCTAACAGGCCATTGAAAGAATTTCCCTTTGGCATAGAATTGTATCGTTAAGTTATTAAAGCCTGATCCCAAAATGGTTTTTCAAAATGATTCTTGGAAGTATTTGCAGAATAACTAGATGATTTAGAATAATATGTCAGTCTTGAATTTTTCAAATATTATGTGATAAATGATCTGGGGAAAAATGAGACGCCTGAACTTCTTGACATCATGGGATCAACAGGCTTATCATTTCTGTGCTGGGACAAAGACCACAGTGGAGAGAAGCATTGCATTTGACTACGGCAGCATCTAAGACTGGCCAGGTGTTGGGATTTAACAGGAGCTCCTGCTGACTTGTCTGTTCACTTTGTTCTGACGTCGAGTAATAGGCTTTAACAACACTTGTCATTACTTCTTTTCTAAAGCAAGGTCTCTTGTCTCTCTCTCTCTGCCCCCCACGCCCTGAGTTTTTCTTTCATTGTTTACTTGAATAGAAGAACAGATGATAAGCCAAGAGAAACCCAAACCTTAGCTTTACTAGGTTGGCTTTGTAAACTCACTGCACTTTCTTCATTTTGTTTTCCATGCTCCAGCATCTTGAAATGGCAGGTTGCTGCTCTGCTTATGTTTTCCTTAAGAACAGAAGTGAAATGGGAGATAAGTAACCAGGATACATTTTCTGACTTGGGTAAAAGGAATATGACTCATCTTGTTAAAGGCATACAGGGATCTTAATTTCAGAGAGGAACATATGTTAGTCCCAACTGTTTCTACATTGATTGTGGTGGTGACAAGCTTTGGGGAAAATGTTGTAAGAGCATACTGATTTTCATTCTTATTCATTTTATGAAACGGAATGGTCCTAGAAATAGACACTGGGTGGACAATCACATTATGCCATTACTTAAATTACTATCACCACGAAATGTGTTGGCAGGAATTTACCTTGAACCTAGAAAGCTTTCGGAAGTGAGCCAGCTTCATCTTGCCTAACTTTAAAAGAAAGATCACTTTTTTGAAACCTGATTCTATACCTATCAAATTCTGTTATGATTTATTAAGAATCTGGAAGGTAGAAGTTAATGGTTCCATAATTAAAACTTAAGCAATCTTTATTTAATGTAAGCCCTTAATTTAAAAATAAGGGCTTTGTATTTGAAGAAAAAAAAGTGTTTTTAATTGGCTCTTGGGGCACAACCTAAAAGGGCACAATTAGGATAATGAAGTGAGGTAGACAGGTAGTAGTTTCCATAATTACTGACTTGTCAGATTCACGTGTTTCTCCAGTTTGCAGCAAAATGTTGTATTCGTAATGTGTGCATCTTTGGGTGAGTGAAAGGGCGCTCAGTGAGAAATGGCCCAGCAGCAGGAAGGAATGGAACACAAATAAAAGAATGAACAAGAATGAACACAAATAAAAATTGACTTTCTGAGGCTCTTGACACCAGTGATTTTCCACTCTAGCTAGGATTTTGATTTCTTTCCAGAAGGATCTCAGCAGTGGCCACCTGCCAGGGGAGAGCAATATTCAAGTTCTTGTGCCAACTGGCCTCTCTCAGCTATCTCTCCAGCAGTCAGGAGCCCCTCAGATTTATATTCTCTACCTATTAAACAACACTTGTGGCCTCCAGTCACTGAGGCGTAGCTAGGGACACACCTGCAACAGGTGTGCTGCGTGTCAGGCACCTGCCTTACCACAGAGGGTGGACACAGTGGCTTTCGTGGGTGGTCACTGATGTCTGCCCTAATGGTTTGGATTTTGTGGTCGATGTTTGAAAGTCAACAAAATGGGTATTGATGCTTCCAAAGGCTGTTCCTTTTCTCCATTGTTACCCAGCCCTAAAATCACATCATTTTCATCATCTGCTTCTGGCACACAACATCAAGATAGCCATCGGACGCTCTGCCCTTACTGTCCTTGTTTTTCATTTCTTGACTATATTCCTAAGTAAATGAAATGACCCTGCTAAGAACTTTGACTCTCTTGCTTTAATGGAAAGCAGTTTATAGAGTTCGCTGTAGTAACTGCGAATTCTCCTTCATGTAAAGCAGTGACTCTCAGTCGGGTGCTCACACCTGTAATCCCCAGGAGGGTCTCTTCAACTCAGGAGTTTGGGACAATCCTGAGCAAGATCACGTCTCTACTAAAAACAGAAAAACTAGCTGGGTGTTGTGTCAGGTGCCTGTAATCCCAGCTATGTGGGAGGCTGAGGCAAGAGAATGGCTTGAGTCCCACCCTGGCACTCTACCCAGGGCAACAGAGTGGGACTCTGTCTTGAAAAAGAAAAAAGAGAGATTTACAGCACTACCTTGCTGCATCATGCATATGCAAATGCCCATAAATAAGAATAAATCGTCATTCCTCAGGATCTGTGAGGGCTGGTTCAAGAAAGCCAACTCCATCCCCACAGATACCAAATCCATGGCTGCTCAGACCCCTGATATAAAATGGCGTAATTCTTGCATAAAACCTGTCCATATCCCCATGTATTTTAAATTTTCTCTAGTTACTTATAATACCTAATAAGGTATAAATACTGTGTAAATACTTATGCTATTTACGGTATTGCTAATTACAGTAATACTGTATTGTTTAGGGAATAATGACAAGAATAAAAGTCTGTACATGTTCAGTACACCATGGTTGTTCAGCAACCATCTAGTTTTGATCTGTGGTTGGTAGAACTCATGAATATGGAGGGTCTACCGCATGTGATCCTAAATGTAGATGTGGGTATTATGAGATGAGGTCAAGGGCAGGAGTATATCAAAGCTGATCAAGGTTCATAATTGAATAATCACTTAACTCTGATTTTTTGGAAATAAGACAACTAAAAAAATCAGAAGGCTAACTCAGGTGATGTCCAAACATATCGTTCTCATTTCTGAGATTGATTTCTTTATAAAACTAGATGGGGGGATACCTTCAACCCTCTGGAGATATATTTATATATATTGGCTTATCATTAAGACGGTGTCTCCACATTTAGAATTATCGGGCTATGGGAAGACAGGGCAGTGTATTTATTTTCTCCTTTTCCCCACTTCTCTCTCACCAGATTTGTCATAGCAACTCATTCAGTAAGCCCCAAATTTCATTCTTTGGTCTACAACTGAATAACTAACAACATTTATTAAGTCAAATGAAAATGATTTTAGAACTTTCCCATATTCCAACTACTTAAGAGATAATCGCTTTTCACAGCTGGGCTTACTTCTTTCCAGGTTTTTTTTTTCCTTCCCCATTGTGAATCCATTTTAAAAAATGGGAGCATGTTGTACAAAAATTTTCTAACTTGCTTTTGTAAAAATTATATTGTATCTAAATATTTTACAAATTATCATACAGTCATAATTATGGTATGGTAATTTAAATGATCATTCTTCACCATTAGATATTCAAGATGTTGACCCCCACATTTTTAAGGTGTAAAGTTACTATTTTAGCTTGTGATTTTTAGATCTACTGGGTAATAAGGAAAACTAGGTTACCTCATGGGAATTTGAGACTCTCTATTGGAAGGCCATCCTGTGAGCGTAAGGAGAGCCTACTCTTTTGCTAACATAAAGGGGATTCTGTTAAAAAGTAGTTAGAAAAGGCTCAAGTGTGGAAAGGTCCACAAGTTCCCCACCGTCCTCCTGTTTGGGCTTTCTCCAGTGGGCTCTGGCCTGTGCCCTGTTTGTCCTTTGCTCTCTGTAAACCCACTGAGCATAGCTTAGCAATCTCAGCTCACTGTCCTCCTCTTAGGCTGGGGTTCCTCTGGAGGGGGCACTTCCCTTCCATAGTCCCAAGGTAGCTTCTCCATGGGCCCCTTCCCTAACAGTAGGTTTCCTGTGCCTGACTGGTAAGGTGGCAGTGGCATCATGACCTGGTGTAGGCCCTACTACAAGTGCCCTCGTCCTACCTGTTGCTGGTCACTGGGCTGTCAGCAGAGAAGAGCGTCACAACTAGGATGAGTACACTTTGATAGCAGAGGGGGAGGACTGTAATCTTGGGGTACCACATGGTGTCACACTTACTGTTCCAAGAGATCAGCACAGTGGCCTATCATTTGATAAGGAAACTGATGTCTTTGCCCTAATGAAGACCTATCCCCTCTCTGGTGGTAGTAAGCCTCCAAAATAGTAGGATGGTTGCCCCTTACCTAACCTGTTGTCTAGGTATGATCTCTCTGGTTCTCCTGTGATCCTTCCTGCTATGCATGTGGAACAATTTGAAGTTGTGTGTGCGCTGAGATCTTTTATTCTGGGTATACTGAAGTTGATTGGCCTGAAGGCCTGCTGGTCTCATCCTGAAAAAACATCACAGAATGTTACTCTTGGGAGAAAAATCCTTATTTCTATTCCAGACATGTATGCTAATTTACTCATTTATTATTTGTTCCTATTGTAATGATGGAGATACAACTAATTTGCTCTGTATTTTTAATAAGTCTGAAAATTCCTCAAGTTGTTTTATTTATTCTCATAGAAATGTTTTATTTGAATATCATGCTTTTGTTCTGAAAATACGTGAACTAAGTTTTATAACGATTTCAAGGCACGTTGCTTGTGTTTGTTAACCATCTATTTTGTGTACTACTTATTGAAGACGCTGAATACTACAATTTTTATCTCGAGAAATGTTTGCACTTGGTACCAGACACTTTCTCATGTGGCTGAGAGGGAAAGTAGTAACTCTTTGGGCTTCTCTTTTCCCCTTGTTTTCAGGGTGCTGGTTGCACGGCCCTGGTGGTAGCTGTAGTGGCAAGGAAGCTAGAACTTACCAAAGCAGAAAAACACGTGCACAATTTCATGATGGATACTCAGCTGACTAAAAGGGTAAGTCGCTGCCCACGTATCTTCAAATGGAATAGTTTTGTGTTTTTTTCAGTGTTAGGAAATATGGTTTTTATTTTGACACCTGAAGCTGAAATGGGTTTAGAAGTTGAAGCATTCCTATTTTATCACATTTTGAGAAGAAACTCTAACATTAAGTCAATTAGGAAATAATTGGACAGTCTTAGTATTTGTATAAAAATAGATGACATACATCTAAACACATAGGCCTCCTGAACATCAAGTACAGCATGTGGAGAGAGCACTGTTGGACTGAGCAGGAAGCAATATACGAGGTCTGACAGTTAAATTCACTCATTCCTCCTAGAAAAAGTGCTACACACCTCACTGCTGAATATCACCGCGGTAACCTTTGAAGTACTCCCTAGGGAAGCTATGCACCTACGCCAGCACCTAGTCCACCCTTCCAAGTAATTGTGGAAGTCTTTTTCTGGACTGTCCATCTTTTTGGAATGTCAATCAGCGCTATCACCATACAAAGGTGTGAGAATTAAGTTCATGAACTTGACACTTGTGCTTACATTGACAGCACTGTGCAGACAACTCAGTAAAGTGTCATAACCTCAGCGTATTTGTGTTGACACATGGCAGTGTTTGCTGACTGGATTTCATTATTGTTGTTGTAAATGTTTGTGTGCTGTATGATAATATCAACTCTTTAGAGAAAGAGTTCCAAAACTGAAGGGTGGACTAGGCACTGGTGGTAGTGCATAGCTTCCCCAAGGGAGTACTTTGAAGGTGACCGTAGTGATATTCAGCCATTAGGTGTGTAGCACTTTTTCTAGGCTGAGTCACAAACTTAATACTGTCAGTGTAGAGTATCAATTTGGGGGGGAGGTGATTGAACAAATGCTTTACTGAACTTGTGGGAACAAATCACTATTCTAAAGGTAGAGCTGAAAAGACAAAGAAGAAACTACTAGTAACTTTTTGAAGCCCCAGGCAAGAGTAAAGCCAATAGGCACTTTCTATGAGTTAAAGGCTGTCAGAGAAAAGTTGCAAATATTACAGCATCTGGATGAAATAGCACTGTCCACTTACTAGGAACAGAGGAAAACAGTGACCACTGTGTTTGCCCCTGCTGTGTGCCAGGCACTGCTCTAAAGGTTTTTCATCCTCATCACAACTTTATGAGGGAAATAGCATCATGCCCATTTTACAAAATCAAGACACAAAGGAGTAGGTAACTTGCAAGGTCATCAAGGTATAAAGCCATGTAGCAGGCAAATGATCTGTAGTAGACTACATTTTAGCCTTTCTTGAGACAAAACCCAAAGTCAAAAATAATGAAAAATTGTTTTATAGCATCATCTTGCTACATACATGTGTAACATAACCATAGCTCAAATTGGAATCCAAACAGCCTGTCCTTGAAAGAGCCAAATCCATTGTTATCTGCTGCCTTCACTCGTAAAAGAATCAATAGGGATTTTAAGCATAGTTCCAACTTTCTGCGTTTTCACCCATTCTTGATTTTGGTTGGATGTATGAAAGCAATCTCATTTAATTTGGTAAATACCTCTTAATAGATCAGCCATATTTAGTGCAAGTATTTATTTATACAGATTATATTTGTGAAATGGAAACCCACATTCCCATTGCCTTGCTTATGCTTTCTGAGTCTTATCGGACTTCACTGCAGTTAGTAGATCCACATTGACAGTCAATGATCAAAGCCTCTGAATTTCAGATGCAGTGTTTTCAGCCTGGATTTACGACTGTGGAATGTCTCCTCCATGGGAGAGTGGAGGAAGAGAGGGGAATGAGGAACTGAATGGAAGGCTGGGTTTCTTTTTTTTTTTTTTTTTTTGAGACAGAGCCTCAAGCTGTCCCCCTGGGTAGAGTGCTATGGCTTCACTGCTCACAGCAACCTCCAACTCCTCCAACTCCTGAAGGCTGGGTTTCTTTTTCAAAGATCTCCTAGGGCATGAAAGTCTGTACATGTGAAATTAGTCCACATCTAATGCAGAAATCATAGCAGGTGTTTTGTTTATTTCATCATACGCTTGTTTGCTCCCTTCAGGGTTCTGTACTGCACACTTTGTGTTTAAAATTCACAAGTTTCACAACATCCAAAGAGCACTTCTTTTAAGTCCCACATAATCCACATTATTTTACCATGAAGATTAAAGTTAATGCCACACTTAAGATATTAGGCAGAAAAATGCTTTAAAATACTATGTAGCCCATATGTTTGCTGTAAATCTTTTCAGCAGTTAAAAAAAAAATGAGAGAATGACATATAAAAAAGCCAAGTTAGCATGTTTGGGCAAATTTCCCCTGTTTCACAAGCAGATCTTCAGTTTTACTTTAAGAAGGAGGTATAGAATTTATTTAAATGTTACTTTAGAATATTGACTTCCTGTGTCTTCATTATCAACATATCCTAGACTTGCCAAAGACAAGGGTCTGGAGTACAGAATCTGCAGTGTCCCGTGGCTTCCTCCTACCTTCAGTGAGGCTTTTTGTTGACTCTGTCACAGAGGTCACCCAGTGTCATTGGGGAAACGTTTTTTCATCTGGGTCTCTCAGCCTCAGCGCTAGTGACCTTTCCAGCTAGATCATTCTTTGTTGTGTGAGACTCTCCAGTGCTTTTTGGATGTTCATAAGTGTATTTGACCTCTGCTCACTAGACAGCACTGCCCTCCTGCTGTGACAGCAAAATTGCCAAATGTTTCCTAAGGGGACAAAATCGCCCGCAGCTGAGAACCTCTGCTTTAGCTTTTTGTTCCCTGGGAATCTGACATCTTGGAGAAGACTGGGACAGGTCTTCTTAAAAGATGTTTTTTTAGTCTACTGCTATAATTCCTAGCTTCCTTGGAATAATATATACTCGTTCAACAAAATTACACTGCGTATCTAGCATAAGTGTAGTTCTGTGTTACCTGACAGGGACAAAGAGCATCTATTCTACTCTTAAAGAATTTTAAGCTTTTAGAGCATTGACCACTTGGAAAATCACATAAGATCTCTGATGTTTCCTGATTTGCAGAAAAATGCTCTTGCTGCTCATGGGGTCCTCTAAGGCCCGGTCAGAGGCCCCTTTAGAGAACTATGGGTTCAGGACCTTCCTTTACTTTTTATGAATGGGACTCAGTTCCCTAAACTGACCAAGTTTTCTGATGATTCTACAGCTTTTTAAGGCTAGGGAAACTGCATTTTGCATATAGAAATTCTAATGGTGTATATTACCAAAGTATCTTACATGGAGGCAAGGGCATAAGATTATTTTTTAAAGAAAAGTATGAAATACAGAATATTCCAATGTGTCGACAATGTCTACCAAATTCACCTAGATCATACATAAATTAAGGAAATGAAAAGTTTAAGGGTGTGGTCTACCTGGTAAAAACAAAAACCAAACCCTTGGTTAAAATAGTGTATCAACAATCAGTGTATCATTAAAAAATAACTGATCTAGAAGTAAAATTTAGGGCAGAGGTTTATTTTAGACTCTGCTGCTTTTGTAGAAAAAAAGTTCAAATTTGTATAATAAGAAAAATATAGCATCTAAACTGCCTTCCTGTGCTGAGTCTCAAAGTTAAGCAGACCCTATGGTTTTCTGTCTAGTAGAGTGTCCATCACTCTTCACTAACCTTGTCTGGGACAAGGCAAGGGAGGTAGTCAGTGTGGGGCTTCGGAGGCCTTTCCAACTGCAAGACTTCATCATTTGATTCCCCTGGGAGGCTTTTTGTCACAGGTTCTCATACACTTTAGGTAAACTTCCAATAGAGTGTTTCATGTAGAGTCAGATTGCCTGTAGAAGCTTTTAAATTGAGTACTGTTCTAGTTTCAGGATTTACATTCTGCATAAGTTGATCATGCTTTATTAAGTCTATTTCATTAGTGATTTTTAAAGTGCAGCTACTTTGCAATATTTCTTAGAACTGGAGACTCTTCCAGGTCTGAGAAAGCTACTCCAGCATTTTTACAGGTAAATGTTACTACGTAAAGGTACAAAGATTAAAATGACAGAGTAAAACATACATTTCCAGTTTATGACATTTATCCCATTATTACACTAAACACAATATAAGACAATACAGCACAAAGTAGCCCTCTGAAAGTCCTCAGCTTAATGAGTATCATTTATTTGGAGCTTGATAATACTTGGTTATTTATGGAAATTTACAATGGATCCATTTATAATTTTGAATTCTAAATAAAAATTGTAAAATATTGAATGATCTTTTATGAAGAACCAAGAATAAATATGGACCTAAAAGCCATACACGGTAGCTCAGATGAAAGATACACATTCAAACGTACTCTTGACTATCAGACAGAAATACAACTATTCCTTAAAAAGCTACTTAGAAGAAATCGTTTTTTTTTTTTTTTTTCGATGGTTAACAGGGATAATGGCCATAGACATTCTACGGAATGAATATGACTTTAAAGAAAAAGCAATATGAATGTTAAAGATTATTCTCCCAGGAACAAATGTAACTTTTCAAGCCTTTCAGTGTATATCTTTACTGAATCAATTTCCAGGAAAAATTATTCACCATGCACAAATTTTCTGGGGACTAATTTTATAGACACATTATTCCTCTGCACAACTCTATTAAACAAGTAAAATAGTATATTTGAAAGTAGAATATACTATTCATTGCAAACCAGCATTAAGGAAGATTGGTCTGTGTTATTCAAAACATTTCCATGACATTCTGCAATTCAGAAACTGCCAACAGTTACATATATCCAGAATAATCTAATTATTTCTAAATGAAAGCATAACAATAACATGTAACCTGGCTTAGTGAGACAGGACTGGCTATTATATTTTTAATCAATTTGCAGCGTTTGCCATGTTATATGCTTTGGAAATAGATTGTTACTATTCATTCAGTTCTAAACAACAAGGAAATCTTGGATTTTGATCCTCAGAATATCAAAAATGCTTGTTTTTAAGTTGCTAGATATACCACAAAGGAGAATCCTCCATATTACTGTCCCTATTACTTATTAAGACTTCTTAATAAGATTGGGCAGTTAGATAATTTTTTTTTCCTGCATGTCTTTTAACTCTAGAGGATTTATTCTGTGTAGTTTTTACCTTGTCCTTGGCTCCGCAGACCAGTGGTTTAAAACATGAAATGAATGGCTCACGTTGATTTTGTCCTGTTCTACAGCCACAATGGTCATCCAGCCCCAAGGGAAAACTGGGAGACAGGATTGGGGGCATGAGCAAAGCCATCCCTGCTGCCCTAAGGGCAGTGGAGGGTACATGGCAGCCTGGGACCTCCCGTGGACCTGGCAAAGACAGGAAGTATTATGCTGAAAGGCTTCTTAAGGGAGAGGCACAAGGGGAAAAAAAACCAAAGAAGCAGAAGTTAAAAATGAAGACTCGAAGTGGTAAAAAAAAAAACAAGGAAAAATATAAAGAAATAGGCTTTTTAAGGCAATGTTGTCATTACCAAAGTTACAGTTAAAAGTCTAACAGTCAGCCGTGCTTTGTAAGTATATTATACTTAAAAATCTTTTTCATCTTACTACGTATGGTTTTATCATTTGATAGTTAACTGTGAGTCAGCAATATCACGTTTGTGGCCTTTGTACCTGTGAAAGTCATTTTAAGGAATATGGCTATGAACTGTTCAGAGTATAGTAGGTGTATTCCTTTTAGAGACTTTGTTTTCTCAAATTATTATCAAAATACCTGATTATCAATATGCCTTTCAAAATGTTTCTGATTTTGATGAGAGTAGATCATTAGTGAGGGAGAGCAAATGTTCTCATAGTTCTTTTGTGCCGGGGGTGAGGGGTAAAGAGGGTCTTGGTAACAAGATCATCACCCCTTCCTCTCCTTACTTTTTGAAAAATAGGAAATCGATTGTATTTTATAGAAGTTTGAAGTCATTCATTGGCTCTAGAATTATTATAGCCACTTACATTTTGAGGGAGAGCTGTGAATCCTTTCACAGCCCTTCTCTGTGGAAGACAGTCAGGACATTTTGTTGAATTCATTAGTGGAAACGTACTGACCCACTTAGATCCTCAGTCTCCTCTGAATCTGTATACCCTTCTTATCAAGATGGGCCTTTGGTTGATAAATATGGATCTGTGGGTCATAGTAAGACACTTTTATTTCTAAATTGTATGAACTATGGTGCCCACTTGACATTTACAGACATTTATTTGGTACCCAGCTACACCCAAAGCACTAAGCTAGAGAGACACAGAGATTGGGGACATGGCCCCGGGCCTCTGGGAAAGGGAGTAAGGAGGGTTCACAGGTCACTTGATTAGCAGGGTAATTAAGGAGACAAAGGAAACTTTTCCTCCACCTCAACTTCCCTCTCATTTAATGATCAAGAACATACAGACCTGCTTCTCCCACTTTTCCTGAAAGTCCACTTTCATGTTAAATTCCTCAAATCTGCAAAATACTGAAGTGCTTTTGGTCCTGTCCCCTCACTGCCCTCTGTTTCCTTTCAACCCTAACAGGGAAAAGAAGACCCTACTATTAGACTCATATCTGACTAAGACACAGAGGGTGTTTTCTTTTTTTTTTTTTATTCTGGAACATATTGTTTTATGACTGTCATGTTGAAAAGTAGCAATTAAATATGATGTTTTTTTAAGAGCTTTACTTGGGTATTTGAAAACCTATTAGGGAGCTAGAAAAGGGATGTTTCAAAATAAATTCACTTATTTTGAAGTTTTTAAAAGCCTCTGCAGGGATTTAATTTTCAGATGAGAAATCATTTTCATTTAAGCCTGTCAGCTAAAGTGAGTGCTTAGTGAATACAAATCCTGCAGCAGAGGGCCTCCAGGGCATGGCTGGCCCCACTGAACTCTGAGGTTCCGCGCCCCCTTCAGCATTCCCCCCCCATCCCAAAGAGAAAGAGTCATGTAAAATGCATCAAGAATAGACAGTGAATCGCCTTTCTAAAAGTTTATAGGCTTTATCAGTACATTAGCATTTGCTGTTTGTGGATGGGAATCCAGAACCCAAATCAACTGCCGTGTCCTACGCTGAGCATTGCTGCATGTGGTGGTTATGTTCCCGTTCCAGTTACACCCAGGAATTTTTCCTAGCTTTCAGCTTCCTCCCCAGGCTGGCATCTAGGCAGAAGTCTTCTCTGTGCCTGGGAATGGTAAAATCAGAGCGGGGCCATCCATCCAGGTATCTACAGAAGCTCTAAGAGCTTCTCTTTCCTGACAGGGAAAAGCTGTCCCAACCCCAGGGGCTGCTGGCCAGTCACTAGACATCAACAATTCATGCTGCAGCCCTTGCTTACCGCTGAAAGGTGGCTGTCAGGACTGCCTGAGCAGAGTGTTTCCATGAGCATGAAGATGGAGCAAAGAATTCACTAGAACTCCTTTAACTTCACTGTTGGTGGCGGTTGTGTTACTTCCGTCCACGCTGGTGCTCAGCGTCCGTGTCCATCTTTTCTCTGTTGGTGATGCTGTCCATGCGCAGGGTCTAAAGGACACCCAGAGGAAGTGCATTATGAACCAAAGTCCCTCTTAAAAGTAGTATTATTGGAAAGAAACCAGTCATTTTCTTAAAATGAATTCTAGAAATACAATCTTGCTCAAAAAGAAAATTTTTTAGCTCCATGTAAATGGATTCACCATCAGTTACCAAACCTGATGTTTTCCTTACTGAAGTGAAAAATATCAATGCAAACTCAAACCCATAGTTCAGTGTCATGCTAAGATAACTCCTCACTGTAAATCTAAGGATTGAGAGAACGTTAATGATAATTATTTCTGGCCTGGCATAGTGGTTCATGCCTATAATCCTAGCCCTCTGGGAGGGTGAGGCAGCAAATAGATTGCTGGAACTCAAGAGTTCCAGACCAGCCTGAGCAAGAGCGAGACCTTGTCTCTAAAAACAGCTGGGTGTTGTGGCCTATAGTCCCAGCTACTTGGGAGGCTGAGGCAAGAGGATCACTTGAGCCCAAGAGTTTGAGGTTGCTGTGAGCTATGATGATGCCACAGCACTCTACCCAGGCTGACAGAGTGAGACTCTGTCTCAAAAAAAAAAAAAAAAAGTTATTTCTTACTTTCTCATCCTCCAGACAACGGAGTCATCCAAAGATAGCTAGTGACCTGGTTAGTGTAAAGTCAAGAACTCAGCGTCCAGGTCCCTGTCTCAGCTCTTTGTTCTGTCCCCCCACTATGACAATTGCTTTTCTTCAAACCATATATTCCTCCACCTGGCACCTCACTAACCTGTGGTTCTTTTACTCAAAAGAATTAAATGGAATAACTTCATAGAATAAGTAATGAACAAGAAGCCCCAGTGAAAGAAAGCTCTGGGTCATCAGATCCTAGCTAGGGTGAGCAAGGAAGAGGACAAAACCTGTTCTTTCTGGTGCTTTATCAGCTCCCAGGATTTCTTTTCAAGACTTTGATAAAGCATCCGTGCCTTTCTTCAGCCGTAGCAGGTCTCGACAGTGTTACAGTAACACTTTCAGCCTTCCTGTGTATCCCATTCATTTGAAATGCAGTGTACTTAAATTTCCAACACAATCATGATAACATAGACTCTGTCGGTTAATTAAAACGTGTTAAGAGGCACAGAGATTGCTAAGTCACTCCAGGAGGCCAGGAGCACTGGATGTACTGTGCATTCAGCAATGGAAAACGGCCCTTCCGGGAGTGCACAGCCAGAAGTACCCAGCAGTACTTCCAAGTACCCTGGACATTTGCTTTTCTCCAGGGAAACAAAAAGCATGGAGAGGACAATTACAATACAAAGTGGAGAAATCACCACGTCTTGATTTAAAAAAAAAAAAAAATGTGTTTTTAAGTAGTCACCTAGAATTTTCCTGAAGGAACGAGATAGACATTGGTAGTATCTGTCTCATATTTCAACATGAGAGTTTTTCCTAGGCAAATACAGGTATTTCTAAAAAGGCACAGATTCAAGGAAAATAGTCTTTTGAGTTACTAAATAGAGCGACCAGCGGGATGAAGAATATGACCCTCAGCAAAGTTACAAAGGATTCTGGTCTGAAATTCATCAACTGCTTTTTTAAATTTGTTTTCTTACCAGGTGAAAAACGCAGCTGCCAATGTACTCAGGGAAACATGGCTAATTTACAAAAATACAAAGCTAGTAAAAAAGATAGATCATGCGAAAGTGAGGAAACACCAGCGGAAATTCTTGCAAGCTATTCATCAGTAAGTACCACTTCTCATTTCCATTCTGCTTTTGTATCCTTGACTTTTGATTGTTGCACTTGGTTCTTCCATGGGAGGGAAGAAAACCTTGTCGTAAGATCTTATCTGGTGATTTATTAATTCCATCAATGAAATCCTGAGAAAAATCTCAGTTCCTTTTATGAGTAAAAATTATTAGAATGATTAAAATAGCTTCTTAGTTTCTGTTTAGAATCAATCATTTCTGCTAAACTTTTACTTCTAAATTTAACATATGCATTCATATAGTTTGAGAAGGATATGTTTAGCTTGTCTCTCCTGCAGAATCTTGAAAAAACCTATGATCTGGATTTTTTAACACAATGTCAAAGATCTCTATAGGAATGTAGTGCTTATAATTTGTTTAATATTTGAATTTTAAATTAGTTTCGAATTTAGGAGATTATACAATGTGTATTCGTTATAGATTTTGTAGTTTCTATAGACCAGGTGTCCTCAAACTACAGCCTGTGGGCCACATGTGGCCACCTAGGACATTTATCCAGCCCGCCAGGTGTTTTTGCCCCGGCTGCCTGTCCTGCTTAGCAGCCAAATTGTCCCGGGGCCCACAGTCCGGCCCTCCAATGATCTGAGGGACACTGAACTTGCCCCCTGTTTAAAAAGTTTGAGGACCCCTGCTATAGACCTTGTACTCTCATATCATTACTCTGACCTTATCTAGACCACCATTATTCAGTTGGTTTAAGTCCTTCATGTCATTTTATTGTTACATAATTACCATGGACTTTTAAAGTAAAGATCTCTATCGAATAAGAGTCACTGATAATGTGAAAGCCAGGGTCTTTCTCTTCCCGGCTGGCAGCAGCTGTACTGTAAGTATTATTCACGTGGGTCCCAGCTATGAGGCCGTGCAGACTTGCTCTTAACTCAATGCCACTTCTGTGTGGAGAAGAGCAGACACAGACACATTGGTGGCTCAGAAAAGTAGCTTTCTTCATGAACCCTTCCTGGGTAATAATGAAAAGGTGGGTATAGATTAAGTATTTCAGAGACAATTAGCACAAGCAAGCTCAGGGCTGGGGTTTTTATTTTGCATAGATAATCCGAATGCAATATAGGGTACCACTGAGACTGTGGCAAGTCACTGACCACTCAGCTTCTACCCTTTGACCTGTCCATTCAGCTGTTCTGCTTAGACAGGTATTCCTGAAAATGTGGCCTATGTCTGTAACTAAAGCCCATGGAGCCTGAGATTTAAAGTAAAAGGGAAACTCTCCAGGTATGGAAGAGGAGCTGGCCAGCATTGCTGCTCACCCCCGATGTTTTCCTGGCTGCCACCAACGTTCTTTCCCCTTCCTCCCTGCGACTTCACTAGACATACAACTATACTTTTTCACCCCATTGGAAGGGAAAGACAAGGCTAGCATTTTCAGAGAAGTGCCCTCCCCACTAAACATGCAACACGGTAACCTTGACATTCATGCAAGAGGTCCCGAGGCTATCCCCTGGAGCTAGCATTCTCTTGCACTTTTTGTGTTTTCTTAATAATTCCTATTGTTCCAGTATGTTAAAAAGAAAACTCACCTTAGAGAGTGTGAGAAGATGTGTGTGTCCAGGGGCAGAGGGTTTAAGATGACACGGCCGTGAGCAAGGGTCGTTGGCCCTGGGTTGGACAGCCACACGTCCTGTCAGCATAACCTATGAAATGTATAATTACATGTGATTTGCCTTTGATACATTTTTCATATAACAAATGCTGTGACAGTTTTTCTAATATAGTCCTGTAACTTTCTGTGAATGGTAGGTAAGCATTTTATCTTGTTTATAAACTTGTAATAAACTCTTTAAGGAGGTTTCTGAGTACATTCAGACAAAACCCTAGGAGAGAATTTAGGGGTGTTTACCGTCAAATCCTTTCAATTTTGCTGTAGGTATGAAAATTTTTACAGTGTTAGAAAAAAAAAATCTGTGGGGAAGCTAAATTCCTAAAAATGTCCCTAAGCAAGTTCCAACGCGCCCAAACGGTGTGTCAGCCTTGAGGAGCTTGCGCTGGCCCCTCCACAGGCCGCTTTGGGACAGAGGAAGCCTCCTGCGATTTTTCTGCTTCTGGCAAACGTTTCTCATTCTTTTTCTTCTATAGCAACATCTGTCTCTAAAGTGCATGAGCTTCGAGCAGCTCAAAAATGCTCTCAATTGTTTATTAATTAGTCTTTGGGTTTGGGGTTTCTTTTGAGGGTGGGGGACACATCCTTGGTGAAGAAAGTACCCTGAGTACAAGCTTACTCATTCTAATCAGGCGTAATTATCTTTCGTTTTAGTTGGAGGTTGGGAATAAAGTCATACAGGAAAGCACACAGGGCTCGATTCCTCAGGGCCAGGCCTTCACTACCCACTGTGTGACCCCAGAGAGACCCTCGGCCTTATCTGTGGGCGTTGGGTGGAATCAGACCTGATTAGCTAAAGAGGAATTTTTAAATTCATTCAATAGAGCAAGCGCTCCTGGCCTCTGCTATTCTCTGATTTGTCCCGAGAGTTTTGGCAGCAGCTGTCTCCCCTTTTCCTCACCCCTCTGTCACAGCTCTCTTCCTCTTTTCCCAGCTTCATAGCCTCTCTCTGTGGCCCACGGCCACTCTAGTCTCTAATGGAGATTAAACTCTCCAGGCTCGTACCCCCTTTTCAGTGAGATGCCTTTCGTTTGAGGTTGCCACTTGGTGCTAGGAGGTCTTCTCTTTCTCTAACTTGTACCCCCTTTTTCTAGTAGAAGCTTGAACTTTACCCTTGTTCATCAACATGAACTTGTCTCAGAGCCAAGAAATCCAGTATGTATAATTTATATATAACAAAGAGCGTTGGATGCCCTGCCTTTCAGACAGCCAGGCTCCTGAATAGCACCAATTTTGGAAAAGATGCATCCTGTAAAAAAAAAAATTAGGCAAAAATGTTGTTCATTTGAACATCCAGAGGCCGAGCTGACTTTATGGGTGTTCTTCCTTCTGAACTCGAATTCAGGAGGAAGATAAGGAGCTTCAGGTGAGAGGAGTACAGTAGCAATGAAAAAGAGTGGTGACATAAGTGAATAGCGTCTCTCTTTGGTGAATCTGTCAAAATCCTGCAGAACCCTGACAGGATCCCAGCTAATGAATCGAGCCCCCTGTGCACAACTAAACACCACATTGTGTTATTTTTGGTTCCAGAATATTTTACAGTTTCTTTTCTTTTGTTTTGTCTTTTTATTTCAACAAAATGAAAATAGAGCTCGGAAGTAAGTTGTGTGAGCCGCTCCTTTCAACATTTGCAGAATTCTCTACTGGCTGCATGCACCCAGCGGATCCTTGATTTGTGAATTTCAGTAGTCTGATTGCTGCTATGGAAATGTGATCCAAAATCATGATATTTTCCTGTGATAAGTGAAGTTCACAAGGAAGAAATCAACATATGTTCCTTATTCTTCTTTTCTGAGGGGAAAAGCCCTGTGATGCCCATCTGCATGTCACCTTTTATGCTGGCAGCTGCAGCTGGGGCAGGCTTGTGCTAGCCGCTCTCCTGAATTGCAGGTAGTGGAAGAAACAAATAAGACACGATAGGGTAGGTCAAGTTCAGGAAGCTACAGGAATTTCACTCAAACAGCTACTCCATGTCTGCTTTCCAGATTAGTAGCACAGAGAATGGCCAAAATTCCACTCTCGGTCACGGCACACACATGGGAATCCAGGAGCAGTAAAGGAGACCCCATAGCTAATAAGATGAGCGGCTTGCCACTGGCCCTTCCAAACTGCCTTGCAGAATTCAGGACAGCGTCTGTCTTCAAAATGGTCCAGAGCCCAAACTTCAGTCATTTCCATCCCACCTCTACTAGTGCTTTTACAAATTTGAAAGTGAAACTTTCTATAAGTCCTTATTGTATGTAGGCTGAGGCAAGGGGACTGCTTGGACCTAGGAGTCTGAGGCTGCTGTGAGCTAGGCTGACGCCGTGGCCAAAGTGATCTAAGCAACAAAGTGATGCTCTGTCTCAAAAATGAAAAAAATACAGGGTGGCCATAAAGTTTGTGTGCAATTTAAAATAGTTGAATAGTTGGCTATTTTAAGTTGCACACAAGCTTTGTGTGTGTGTACATCTATATCCATAGCTCGCTCACAGCAAAAGCAGGTAAAAGTAACATCAGTTGACAGGTGAAATACTGGTAGTGTAGTCCAGTCATAGGCAGCTGCCTCTTTTATATAAGAGAGGTAATATCAGGTGTCAGGATATAAAGACAGTAGGACCAGTCAGAGACATTTTTCTTATAATAATGAAGAATTAGTTCTTCATTTATTAATTTAGTTCTACTAAAAGGAAATAATTATCTTTCTGTTTTAATATTATTGAATGTCTTTTTTCAGTCATCTAGAACACCTTTATTGGTATGAATCCAGCACTTCAGAACGTTGTCCCTGTCTAACACACTTCCTTTCCTACAAGAGGAAACAGGAAGTCCGGGCCACTGAGGATGGAACCCATGTCTGACATTGCTCCTTGCTCTAGTACACTTCTGTGCCATGACCCACAGCTGTTTAAGGGGTGGTCTTTTGTTTTTTCGTTTTTGTTTGTTTTTAAAAGACACTCATCGAGAATTGTAACTCTTGTGAGTAGCGACAGAAACCTGCCTCAACAATATGCTGGATTTAAATACAAGCTTATAAATTTCTTTTAGATAAGAACATATTCTCTCTCAATGATAGCATAACAAGAAGCCAGTTAACTTTTGTTCCAAACATTCGGATAAACACATAGTTGCAATGACAAATTCTAATCTTAAACTGTTTGAGATTGTTAAAGATCAGGTTGTAGGTGGGTGTCATCCAAACTCTTCCTGGCAGAAGCAACTCCATCTTTACTGTAGAGCAGATTTGGTGACATATTGGTTAGCCTAGTTTCAGAACAAAATCACTGAGCAGTATGAACACATGTTACAAACAACTCCCTGGCAGTAAGATCGTGCCGGTGAGTTTTAATGTTTACTATGTAATCACCTTTCATTTAAATTGAAAAATAATAAAAGGTATTCTCCAGTATTAAAGCTGTAGAGAATACAGAGGTGAGCATGGGATTTTATGTTTTTCCTTTTCATGCAGTAGCTCGGAGGGGCCTACTTCTCTCTTGGAGCAAGGCTGAAGTTTTGGCTGAAAGAACAGTAAACTACTTTTCTCTTACTGGGAAATCTTAATTTCTTGATATCCAGTAAGCACTGAAGGACTCTTGGTTTAAATAAGTGAAGGAATAATAAGAGTCCTTATTCAGAAAGTGCTAATGAGGGGTCTATTTTTGTTAATCAGGTACATACAGTGCTATTGACAAGTAGCTATCCTACCCACCAGATGCTTTAGTTGGCTTCTGACTTTTATCTGTGCAGAAAATTAAGGGAACTCTTAGTGCACTGGCCTCCCTTCAAATTTAATGGCAGATTAAGATAAAAGTCAAGTGGCATACAGTGAAGAATAAGAGAATTATGTGTCTATATTGCTGCTGGTTGACTAAAAGTCTTATGTTTGTTAATAAGAAGAATCTCACTTATCACTGTGTTTTCATCAGGTTCCAATACCTAACCCAACCCATCTCAGACTAAACAGGGTCCTCCCTGTATCTAGTCACATAGGCATAGGAAGGCGCTCATTGCTCCAACCTTGGTGAAACTGCAGTTGCTTTGCATTTTTCTTCCTATGTCTATTTGTCATGATACTGGGGCTTGAAGGAATGTTTTGGCTTCTTCTCATATGGTGAAATCCTTATGAGCCTTTCTGAACTCAACTGTACCTGATAAGTAGCTGTCCTAAGGACATCTCATCTCTTGCGCTCTCTCTTCTCCTTTCTTTTTGTGGTGTTGGGGAAGCATGCTTCTCATTGTACGAGATACATAACCGGTTTTGACTTTGCCCCCAATATTTGAGGCATTATTCATGCAGTTATTTGCTCTTGTCAGTTTTGTGCATGCTCTTTGGAAGGCGTAAGGTAGCCAGAGAAGGAAGGGACCCTTTCTGACTTGAGATTCTGTCTTTTAGATTAAGAAGTGTAAAAATGGAGCAGAGGAAACTGAATGACCAAGCAAATACCTTGGTGGACTTGGCCAAGGTAAGCCGGAGGTGCTCAGCCTTCACTTCTGCGTCTGTTGAGATTAACCACCCCCCAGTCGCTAATAATTAATGCTTCAGGAGATGCCCAGTGCAAATTTAATTACATCAAGCCAACCCACAACCCTAAAATGATGGCCCAACTTAAAGAATGCTTACTTACTCTGCTCTTCCTATACATACATTATTCAGTCCCCATCCTAAAAGCTTTCCTCATTACAGTGTTTCGGAAGTCCCATAAGAAACATAAGTGGAGTGTGAGATAATACCTTTGGGAATTTTATTTGCAGAGCAGAACCACCTTCTGGGTGTGCTTTGAGGTTCCTTAGAGTTTTGTTTTTTTTTTTAATGTATTCTAAGCACACACAGAAGAATATAAGGCCAACTGTTTTTTAAAAGATACCCCAAATTACACTCTAAAATATAAATCGTCTTCCCATAGAAAGTGACCACTTTTTTATGGTTCTTTCTCCATGTCATCATTGATAAATCTTACAAAGGTAATAGAAGAATTCTGGGATTGTTTTCTATTTTTTAAAAAGTAGTATGATTTTTAAGAGTGATTTTTGGTGGTTCCTCTCCGTCAAATCTATTCTCAAAATATAAATATTTGTCCAACAGTCAAAACATTGCATTCTCCTGAGCGAATTTTAAAGTATTAGAATAGCATAAGTGTAAAGCCTTTGAACACAAATGTTTTGAAAGAGGCAACTCTCAGTTGGTCCATGTGAACTGTTTTATGTTCCCAAAGCCTCCAGTATAATCTATAAAAATCACCCAAAGTTACCCTAGTCTTAATAATATGTCTAACATATTCATGATAATAACACGTACTACCTAAATGTGTTGAAGACAAGTGAAATATTTAATAGCTTACCTTAGGAGAGCATATATCATGCATATAAACTGGGTAGACCCATTTACAAGGTATGAAGATGTCCTTGATCTTGACAGACATAGCTCTCATCATGAACAAAGCTGGGGCAGGCTCCTGTATTCCTCCTAGGTTAAATAATAAAAGAAATTGGATATTTTATGATAAAGACAGACAGACCACTTTGAAATATGATGGGGGTAAGTAATTTTACTTCAAGAGTACACCTGTGGGATAGAGGCTGCTTCATGTCAGTTAGTTTTTGGTGTCATGCTTATTGTGACTGCAGGACTCGATATGCTGTAAAGGTTCAGTGTTTTTGAATGAATGGATGCTGTTCACGTATTCTCAAGACCATGCGATAAATAATGCATGGGCAAACGGAAACGAGGTGCCTGAGTCTGAACAGAAACTCCCTCATTTAATCAGTTCATTTATCATCTTTAAGAGGTGGTTAAGCAAGGGAAGAACATAGATTATGAAGGGAAATGAGGCAGAAGAAGAGGAGGCTTAGACAAAGGGGTCTTGGGCTTGGGCAATGCTGCTTTAAGCTCAGGTTAATGTCCTGCCCTTCCCTCTGGCTCCAAGAGGGTCAGTGCTGGGGCCCTCCCTCTCTCCTGTGTATTAGCGACTTTAGGAAATATACCTGGAATAAGAGTTACCAGTACCCTGTGATCAAGAAAATGAATTTCAAGATTCACTAGGACACCAAAAACATCTATTTTAGCCACTTATCTCCAATTAGGCCCTAGCCAACACTGGTAAATGTAGTCTTCGCCCTAGCTTTTGTCCTGTCAGTGGTTCTATAAAAACATGATCTGAGCCGGTGGGGAGAGGCCTATATAATTTGGAACATAGAATAATGAATGATATTTAGGAATTTATTGCTTTAAATTATGAAATGACTTGATCAAATTTCATTTATATTCTACCTTCAAAATTTCTACTGTATCCCAATACCATCTGGAGTATTATTATTATTCATTGTTCTTTAAATCAGCCTGTTTAAAAATTAGCCTTGCCCTAATTAATATTACATGTTGAAAAATGAATCTGATGTGGTAACTTTTGTAACAACCATTAAAATCCATATGCAAGTATTAATTGAAAATCTTAGGATATTTAATAGTTAAATATTTATCTATCCTTAACATCACCTAACATCAACTAACACCCATTCCTCTGCTATTGAACTGCCCTTAACCCCTAAGATCTTACCTGTCTAAATCCCAGTATGGAACAGGTCCACTGAGTTTGCTCTGCAAGGTTAAAGCGGTTCAGGTGGTTGACGCCCCTCTTCCCCAAGGTGCCTCTTTGGGTCTCAGTTTCTACATTCTTCTCAATCCTGTTTTCCAGACCCAGAATATCATGTATGACATGATTTCTGACCTAAATGAGCGGAGTGAAGACTTCGAGAAGAGGATTGTGACCCTGGAAACAAAACTAGAGACTCTGATCGGGAGCATCCACGCCCTCCCTGGGCTCATAAGCCAGACCATCCGGCAGCAGCAGCGGGACTTCATCGAGGCTCAGATGGACAGCTACGACAAGCACGTCCCCTACAACGCCGAGCGGTCCCGGTCCTCGTCCCGGAGGCGGCGGTCCTCCTCGACAGCGCCACCAACTTCATCAGAGAGTAGCTAGAAGAGAATAAGTTAACCACAAAATAAGACTTTTTGCCATCATATGGTCAATATTTTAGCTTTTATTGTAAAGCCCCTATGGTTCTAATCAGCGTTATCCGGGTTCTGATGTCAGAATCCTGGGAACCTGAACACTAAGTTTTAGGCCAAAATGAGTGAAAACTCTTTTTTTTTTCCTTCAGATGCACAGGGAATGCACCTATTATTGCTATATAGATTGTTCCTCCTGTAATTTCACTAACTTTTTATTCATGCACTTCAAACAAACTTTACTACTACATTATATGATATATAATAAAAAAGTTAATTTCTGCACATACTGGTTTGGTCATTTTAATGTCATAATCGTTTGACCCAGGAAAGCTTACTGTTCTTTTTCAACTTACAGGGTCTCATTCTTTATTCAGTTTTCAGAATGTGGAAGTGAGGGTGTTATATCAGAACACGTGCAAACAAAGGGAACAGATGTGTTTGAGCATCATTTGATTCCCAGTTGACTAGGAAATTTACATGAAGAAAGTGTCAGGTTAAACCACGGTCTGTGAAAAGCTGTTACAGAGTTTTAGGTCTAAGCTGGTGAAAGTGGAATGACTCAGACGTGGGTTTGGAGCTCGGCTCTGCCAGGTACTAGCTGTATGCACCTGAACAGCAGTGAGCCTTCCCAGCCACTTTTTCCACATCCCTAAAATAATTACAAAAATGGGGTTACCAGTGGGGCTCTGAAAAGCATAGCATCAAAGTCACCAAATGATGGGAGTTATTTTTTATCACCATTTCTAGCATAAATTGACAAATGTTAAATACACCCCCAATCTGCCTATCCTATAACTTTTAGCACCTAGAAATATCGAGTATAAGTTCTCTTCCTCATTTGTCTGGTTCATTCCTAAAGCAATTTGCTGGACTCTGGACAACCGTATTTGTTTCCTCATCTTAGCACTACTTTCTATTCAATGTGACCTCGAACACCTATAGGTGAGTACCTTTTGTCTTTGTGATTTATTATATACCCTGTCTGCTGCTTGTCATCCCAGTCTATCTGTTCATAAATATGATCCAGGAATGTGGAGGGGGCTTGGTTACAGACGTGCTGGGAAGGTTACCTAGGAGATGGACCCAAAGGCCCAATTCCTTTTCCAAATCCATCCCCGTAAGTCCTGAGCCTCCACCTACTTCTCCCCGTTTATGTAACAAACAGTAATGTCATTTGTGTGTTTCAACTGAATTGTCACGTTAACTCACTAAGAAAAAATTACAAACAGATCATTTGACAAATAAAACCCCAGGGGATGTTTGAGACTTGGAGGACTCTGGAACACAGAGTGCTCTGTGAGAAGCTTCTCTCCATCCCACAGTCACCATTGATAGTTCCTGAAGAACATCTTGTTTGATAAGACCAGGGAAAGAATAGTAGAGGCCCTCCCAGGGCTGCTTCCGAGGACATCTGTTAACCACGGCATGAGTCAGGGGACCCAGAAATAGAAAACATGGATTATCGTTTCCTGGATATTTTTAGACAGACTTAATTTTCTCCTATAAAATGCCCTATTCTGTAGTCGTAGGTTTCCTCTGCCCTGGTGTCCATGCTCGGGATGGTAGAGCATGTGGCAGTGGGGGCAGCTACCCAGTGAATAGAAATTATAGGGGCTGTGCACCTTGGCAGTGTCAGAACCCTAGTACGTGCTCACGCAGCTTCCAGTTGAGCTGAAAGTTAAATTTCAGTGGTCAGCAGGCCACCAAGCAGAAGATGAGCAGAAGAGACACCTTCTCTCCAGTTCTCTCACTCAGGTAGTAATTTGGAAGCAGCCCTCATCTCCCTCCATTCCTCAACCTCCCACTGTTCTGCTGGAGACAAGTCTCATTCAAACCTTTAAACAACCCTGTGTTTATTTCCATTTTACAGATGTGGATGCTAAGTATGTATCTAATGATTTCTAAAATGAGTTAAAAGAACTGAGTTCCTTCCTTGTAAATTTAATTATCAATTTCACTGGGGTCTCCTACCCCGCCCCACCCCCTGAAAAACAGGAGGCCTGTAAGGCAGGTACTATTTCTGATTGGTCAATCCTGTCATTTAAAAAAGGTGTTTGAGGCAGTGAAAATCCAGGGCCCTCTGCCAAGGTAAAGGAATAAAAATATTGGAGGACTCTGAACTCTTTCCACTCAAAGGGAAAGGGCCCGTGCCCGGTAGGATATTTCGTGGCATGAGTCACAAAAGAATCCGATCACAGAACTCGGGATTGCCGCCCATATTCTGCAGTGATGCCACCTGTTACCTCCATTGAAGTAGAGCCAGGAAACGCACACCCGGTCACCCAGGCCCAGCACCTCACCTGCTGAAGAGCCCGTAGCCACCAGCCCTCCTCAGCTGGCCGATAAGGGATGCTGTCGGTACTAAAACACAGAACTCCGAACTCTCCACTGTAAAGGAAGAATCAAAACAGCTTTAAGTAATAAAACATTTCATATAATAAACACCAAAAATCCTCCTGGTTGTAATATTCTAAGTCTACATTATTCTGTCTAAAACCACCAGATGTTCACTGTGCCTCCTCCCTTCCCTGCAGGTGGGCTGGAGGAGACACACGCTGTCACTTTGAGTTCTGGGTACAGATGTGCATGTGTGCGACGCTGAGTTGTATGGGGATGGGCTCTCCCCTACCTCATTTCCCCCCACTTTTGTCTGGCTGCTTATCATTGGCATTGTTAGGCTGAACATTCAGATGTTTCTGGCTCGGGGAATACAAGTCCAAAATTAACCTCTCTTCCTGAAGGATAAAATGACAGTACCTCCAAGATGAAACTAACAATAAATAGATAAAAGACTTGTAAGTGAATCAATTTTTTTTTGAGATTCCAGAGTGAAAATAAACTTTTTGAGGAAGTCCTAGCATTTCTAAATATGAGTGTAATAGTGGGGTTTTCATTTTCTCTCTGAAAACCGAATTAAGTACCATTTATGTGTCTTCTAAAACATATTTTCAGGGAGTTTGAGGATTGTACATCACCTTGACAGAGAATATTGGTGGCAAAGGTCTGAAAGCAGGTTGCTGTGGCAGAAAAAAGGTAGGTGAACATTTTCTAGTGATTGGGAAACAGCCAGAGTAGGGAATCCTTCCTACCTTCCTGAGATTCCTGACCACTCTTTTAGAAAGAGGCATTTTACAGGCATATTCTTTATAAATAACAGAGAGGACTTGAGTAATTGGTAGAAAGGAGAACACTCCTTTAAAAATTTAGAAGATTGCCGGGTGTGGTGGCTCATGCCCGTAATCCCAACACTTGGGAGGCTGAGGTGGGTAGATTGCCTGAGCTCACAAGTTCGAGACCAGCCTGAGCCAGAGCATGACCCCATCTCTAAAAAATAGCCAGGCATTGTGGTGGGCACCTGTAGTCCCAGCTACTTGGGAGGCTGAGGCAAGAGGATCACTTGAACCCAAGAGTTTGAGGTTGCTGAGAGCTAAGATGCCACAGCACTCTACCAAGGGTGACCAAGTGAGACTCTGTCTCTAAATAAATAAATAAATATGTAGAAGATTCATATTTTTAGAGGGAAAAACTCTTTGCAAAGGCATTGAATGAAAACTTATTTATATATAAAGGAGAATAATGGTAATTACATGTTTTTATTCTTAACTTTGAAATTAGTCAACTAAGTAAAAATGAATTTGGAAGGACACAAAATAGCAAGAAAGCATAAAAAATGAGAAAACACAAAGCAAGAAGATGAAACACAGCAGCCTGACAAGAAGTAACCATGTGATTGAACTTACACTCTTGAAAGGTAGAAAATACAGGCTTGGGTTTAAAACAAACTGCATGTATATATTAAAGAGACAAAATAAAAGAATACCACAAATTAAAAGTCAAACAACAGGGGAGAGAATTGAGGCTATTACAAACAAAAAGTGGTGTCAATACCCACTGCAGATTAATGGAATTTAAAGAAAAGATATGATGTCACAAAAACAAGGCCTTGTTAGTTGATAAGAGTTCATTTATACTGAAAACAAAGTTGCATCCATGCACTCAACAGCAAAGCATATAAAAGTCTCAGAAGTTAAAGAAAAACTCTAATTGTGGGAGACTTTAAAACGTTTGCAGTCCATACAGGTCAAATAAAAATTACTAAAAATTTTTTCAAGAAAAAGATTGCCAAAATTGGTCTATGAACTAGTAGAAATATGATAACCATAAAATAGAAATTTAATCTTAAATATTACAACTTCCAAAGCCCTTAGATCAGTCACCTTGAAGAAATAGATAATTTGTATCTTCCATAAACTGTCCCTGAGAATTAAAATAACATGACATTAACCGATTTATTTTACTAGAACTAAGATCCTAAAATAACAACCAGGCAAGGCAAACTTAAAAAGAAAAAGCTGTAGGTCAACTGACATATGAATTTACATGTAAAAATCCTCAATTTCATATTAGGAAACAACATCCAAAAGTATATTAAAAGAATAATGCATCATGGCCAGAAAGTTTAATCAGGACTTTAAAAATACTAAACCCTGTTATTAAAATCACAACATAAAACAGAATAAGAACAAACAACCATGTGATTGCTCAGTCCCTGCTAAAGACACATCGGATAACATTCAACTCAAGCTTGATTTCATAAAGTCTATCTGCCAGGTGCTAAGTAACAGTGAAACGCTAGACGTATTCTTCTGAATGACAGGAAAAGGACACCAGCGTCATCACTACTGTTCAGCCCTGTGCCAAAGGCCCACGAGTGCAACTCCACACTGTTAAACTACACACCCCATGCTGCCCTGGCACATCAGATCCAAGGATAACACGCACATGTGCTCACACACAATTTAGATGGACTTTTTTGTTATTTGGAGTATAGCAGACCTTCTTTACACAAGAAAGAAAAAGCAAAAGCTATAAAGGAAAAACTGTAAACATTTGCTTTAGGCAAAATTAGAAATTCTGATATCAACCGAAAAGGACAGGAAAAATATTCATGATAATATTACGATAAGAAAGCATTTTTATTCAGAAGATATACATAGAGGGTATATATATATAGAAATATCTCTCTACACAGATCTCATATGAGATATATCTATATATCTATATCTATATATAGATATAGATATATCATATATATATATTTATAAAGACAAAAATCTGGTAGAAAAATAGCAAAGTATTTTTACAGACAACTCACATACAAGTTAATATAAACAGGCAACAGGCGACACCCGTAGCTCAGTGGGTAAGGCATCGGCCGCATATACAGAGGCTGGCAGGTTCAAACCCAACCCAGGCCAGCTAAACAACAGTGACAACTGCAACAAG